CAAGTATGGTCTTGATTGAACTTCCTTTATGTAGCTAGGCTAGAAGGGGTAAATGATTATTCTAGAAAGAATACATTACATGGATAACCATACACATTTAAAGCAAGACTTGTTATAAAATGATTTTCTCATACTCATGTCATTAACTATGGTCCTTATCATACTCATGACATTGACTATGATCAAACCTTTTCCACAAGTAGCTATGATTAGATCAACAAGGATATTGCTTACTATAAATTCATATTCTCAATATGAGATATAGCAAATAGATTTCAAGAAAGACCTCTTTTCTTAATAGACATCTACTAGAAGATATCTATATAGATCAGCCTGGAGGTTTTCTTAATCCATGTTATCCTAACAAAATGTGTAGAGCTTGAGATCCACTTGTGGATATAAAGAAAAGATCTCCATGTTGCAATCATCATTTTAATGTAAAACCACAAGGTATCCTTTTATATCAAAATGAATAGAACATGTGTGTTTACTAAGTACTAGTAGGACCATAGTGATATTCCTAATCTTGTATGAATGAGACATACTTAATCATAAGAAAATTACATTCTGACCATGCCAAGGGTTTTCACCTTGACTCAGAATGTATTTCTAAAATGAAAGACTTAGGAAAAACAAGATACATTCTTGGAATGTAAAATCTATATAGATAGATAAAATGAATGTTAAAAGTTTTATATACGTATACATATATTGACAATATCTTGAAAGAGATCAAGATAGAAGATTCCTTTGGAGGAACCTTAGCATTGTCACATGGCACAAAGTTTGAGCCAACCTCAAAAGGACCTAGCTCATAGGTTTGAACTGGTTATATTCAATTTGCTTGGCAAATGAATCCATCATTTATGCCATATTATGCATAAGAGTTGATATATGATCATGCTATGAGCATATCATAATATACCAACTGAATACATGGTTAAGTCACCGGATGATTATAGAAACATTCTAAGAGTACTTTAGAAGAACTAAGAGCATGTATATGAGACATATAGTTTACAATAAAAATATTCATGTAAAGAGCTACATAAGATTTGGATTTCTAAACAAATATATATAATTATGAATTTTAATTGGATTTTGACTTCATTGTGAGATGAAGAGTAAGTTTTGTTGGAATGAGGTCCAACCAAAAGAAAATGACACAATATACTACAAAATAAGAGTACACTACTTTAGAAGTTTAAATTTAAAATGATTGGATGAATGAGTTCATTGAAAAGCTATGTGGATCTCTGTCATTCAAGGATCACATAGAAATCTTTGTGACTTCGAGAGTATACTTAATCGAGATAAGAGGCTCTATGTCATGAAAGAACACCAATCATATACTCCAAGATATTTAACTATACCTAGAGTAAAGTCAAATATGGAGATGATAGTATTCTCAGAATTCACACAACATAAGTTTAGTCGAACCCATTAATAAAGTCATTCTTTTAAGCTGAGTATGAATAGTCACACTTTAGCTGTAAGACTTTATTATTCTAGAAATGAGATTTTGATTTGGATATTGGAACATTGTAACAACAACTATTATATAATGTTTCGATATACTGGGGCATGATCATAGCATCAATACTTGTCGTGTTCTATATTAACATGTTTAATCCATGAATAATCTTATTATTCTAAAAGTTCATAGTCGGTTATAATTGTGGGAGAAATTATGAAATAAGACTAATATGAATTGGATTGGTTGACTTTCACTGGATGAAGGTAGGCAATGGGTTGTAACCAAGTTTCATACATACTTGTCAGAGAACTAGTATTGAACTGACCCGCATCAAGATCATCTTATGGATCACTATCATGAATTTTACTTGATTAAAATGTACTATCTTTGTATCCTTAGCACCTGAGATACATAGTGGGACTTAAGTGTAGGGAGTACTATGCTTAGATATGGTCAAACGCTGGTCCTTAACCTGACAGTTATAAAAGCCATTTTCAGGTATGGTATGAACTATGCAAGAGGCTTATGTAGTCAAAATGAGATTTGTTCCTCTTATGTGTTGAGTGTTAGACATCTAAGGCGCCTTACCAAAAGTTGAACACCATATGAGATTGATTGCGATCTGTATCTCATGTTTAACATGATATCTATGATAAAGGGATAACTGATAAACTTACCTTATACACCAATTGTAGCTTGGAGATTTTTGAGAATTGGGCGTTGATAGAATGGCACAAAGTCGTATGTTCATGGGGGCAGTGAAATGTTGCTAGACGTTCACCACTGTCTATATATATGTCTAATATGAATCTTGCGCAAGTGGGATATTGAATGATCTAGTACACTCAAGAATCATATTAAAGTGATATTGGTAATTAGCATATGATACTACTGGGTCACACTAACAACAACTTGATATAATTTATTATTGATTAGAAATTGATTTTAATAAATATTCAATAAACTCTTTTAATTAATTGGAAATTATTTATTTCACGTAAATAATAATTTTCATTAGCAAGTAACATTATATATAATTCATATGGTATAATTAAATAAGCATGCACAACATTTTGGACTAGATAAATTATTTTGTCTTTTACTAAAAAGTTAAAGTTTATATTTTATAAACTTGGTTTATAAAATATAAAAGACTTTTGTCTTCTTTTGCCTTCATATTTTTGAAATATGACTAGAAAAAAGAGAATATGGGCTTTTCATTTGTTTAATGAAAAGAACACACCTCTAAAAAGACAAGCATAGACAATATGATTAAAGTAAGGAGCTAGGAGCATGGTAGGAGAAAAGGTGAAGACCTTATGGACAAAGATTACATGTAAAAAAGGGCTTGTATGAACTCTTGTCTTGGATGCCTCATGAAAACCGTATCCTCCCTCCACTCCCTCACTTTCTCTCTAGATGAGTTTACTTGAGAGTTTACTGCCATCTCTTTTATGCTCTCTTGAAGCTCATATTGGTTATGAACTTCAAGATTAAGAGATTAAGAGTTTTTCTTACAAGACTAGCATCTTAAATCAAGTTGACAACTTGTTGGTGTCTCTAAAGTTTATCATTCTTCATCAACTTCCAAGCCTCCCTAGAGGATCCAAAGAACTACAAAGGTTGTAATTTCTCCATCTCCTTCTTTGGTTGGTGTTTTTCTTTCCAAACCGTGAAAGAAGATCCTTGGTGGGATATAAACTTCTTTTATGTTATTCAAATCATCAAGTCTTCCATTGCTAAATATCATGTTTTTGAAACTAGTTTTTGAATAAAAACCCAACAACTTTTCCCATGTTTCCACCCTCCCTTTCGTGTGTTCTACCTATTCTAACAAATAAACCTGAAACAAAACCTTCTTCATTACCAGAAACTCTACGTTTCAGTTCCTTGGACAATAAGTAATCATTCATATTATTGACAACGATCACTGTTTAACCATACAACATAGCATCAACCAAATTCTCATATGAATTTGGTATATATCACAACAAAATAAGGGTTTGGTACAACCGATTCATGAGAGAATTGTTTGGTGTATGCTATTTTCTCGATTATTCTTGAAAAGGGTACACAAGCATTGCTTCAGATACAACAAATTTGTGAGAGATTTATTTTGGTACTCGCGACATACTTTCTTATAATGGCCATTATTGGTCGTTTGATCCACAGCATACCGTACCACCTCGCCAATTATGCTTAACATAATAGTAATATGTGTTTTTGCCAAAATATCATTTTTCATCATTTTAGCCATGTATTTTGGTAGTTTCTCTTATCCATCTAAATCCTTCAAACAACCCTATTAAACCAGAAGATCCCTCATGTCCACCTTCCATAAGGTGAAATCATTCAAGCCATTGAATTTATCTATTTTGAATTTGTGAGACGTAATCTCTTTAATCAACAGAACAAAACCACAACTACTATACCACTTGTCTTGAATAATCGAGAAAATATCACACATGTACACAAATACACAATATTTAACGTGGTTTAGTCGATGTGACATGTCCACACCGCATGAGAAAGTATTCTTATTCAAGAGTTTCAAAACGATAGGATCATAATCAACCGTTACATATATAGACAGAGTACAAAAGTAGAACTAATTAGAATCAGCTCGGGGCAATCTACACATATCAATGCATGTTGATATTCGTTCGGGTTGTTAATTCTAAAGCCTCATTTATCAAACTAAATATTTGAAAATTTCAAAAATGAAAGTCGTACATAATTATATTTCATTTTAAGATTATTCTTTATCATCTAACCGAAAACTATGAGCATTTAGGTATGATTAAAACACACAAACATAATACTTTTCTGGCAAAACATATTTGCCTCAATTTATCCATTTTCTCTTGGATTTTCGCCATACTTGTATAACTCGCACCCGTCAAGACATGACAATTTTTTTTTGTCCCAGTGCGGTTTAACCCGTAATTTTATAATTAAAAAAATCGTAAAACACAACAGTATATTTAAGCAACAATATACTATATTTAGTATGGTGTGAACGATTTGTATGGATTAATGAATGTCCCAATATAACAATATAGTTCAAATTTTGTGATTATTAATAATTAATCTGTTTTAATATTAATTATTCTATTATATAATGTTCTAATAATCAAACATGTTATATTAGATGAATAATATATGTTATAAAAAAATTAACATAAAGCATGTCACTGTTATATCTTTATAATTTAAAATGAAATAGATACATGTTGCTATTCTTGAATATTAGCTACTTTAATAACATATTGTCAAGTTGCATGTGCAAAGACATTTAACTCCGTCGATTCTATCTAAATATATTATTCAAACTAACTTTTGAATATCTTTTTCAACTTTATAATCAAAGAAGAGAACATGTTAATTCTAATCAAATCTAATAGATTGGTACCTTGTTTTATATACCAGTACAATGTTTGGAATAATATTAAATGTAAATGTTTATCCAATTTCTCTTCTCTTGTATATATCTACAAACCATCACTTGTCCAGAACAGTCAAAGCTTAAACAAACCATTCCAACTCCATTTCTACACACGAAAAACATCCATGGCTTCATCAAATTCCAACACAGAAACCATACAAGAAATTATGGCAACATACAAATCACTTCCACCAAGACCTGCCATTGAAGAGCTTGAAGCAGCCATATCTGTCATCAAAACAGTCAACACCGAAGAAAAACAGAAACTTGATCAAATTTCCATACAAATCTGCCCACAAGATGTCTCACCACAGCTCTTCTCTGTCCTCCAAGAGATCCGACAAACCATGGTCTTGTTTCAGAGCCAAGAACAGAGGAAAGAAGCTCTGCATATTCTTAACGTTGATCAGACTTATCAAACCTTTGACGAGTTGATACAGAAAGCTTCCAAGTGTGTTTTGGGAGATACCCAGTTGAATAAAGACGATGATTTGAAACACCCAATTGGTAATTTTCAAAAACAACCACCGATAAGTGATGAAAGTTTGTTGATTTCCAACAAGATCAGTAAAGTCGAAAGCTTTAAGGGTTTAGTCATGAGTTCTTCAACAAAAGCCACCAATTTACCCTCAGGTTTGTCAATTTTTTGTTCTATGTAAACTATGAACACATAATCTTACATGGTGTTGATTTGAGTGTTCGGAGATGAGTTTTCCCTGTATGTGTGTTTTTTGTGTTTGTGTGTGTAATCTTGAACAATGATTTCTTGTTTTGAATTGATAGGAGTAGAAGAATGTGAGAAACTTAGCATGATGAAAGTAGCAGCCTTGATTGAAACGATAGCCAAACAAGATGGAAAAGTTCTTGATCTTCAATCCAAATTGATGGAAAACATCGAATGGCTTCCTGTATCTCTTGGAAAACTATCAAACATCACTGAACTTAATCTATCGGATAACAAAATCATGGCTCTCCCACAATCCATCACCAATCTTACCTCCCTAACAAAGCTTGATGTCCACTCAAACCAACTCATCAACCTTCCCGATTCGTTTGGTGGACTTGTCAACTTGCTCGATCTTGATCTCCATGCAAATCGATTGAAATCTCTCCCAGAATCATTCGGTAATCTGTCAAGCTTGATGAATCTTGATTTAAGCTCAAACCATTTCACCCATTTGCCAGACCTCATAGGGGAGTTAAACTCTATGCAAATCTTGATTGCTGAAACAAATGATCTTGAAGAACTTCCTTACACAATCGGATCATGTTCTTCGCTCGTGGTGCTAAAACTAGACTTTAATCAGCTAAAAGGGCTTCCTGAAGCAATTGGAAAGCTAGAGTGCTTGGAGATTCTTTCTTTGCATTATAACCGGATTCGAAAGCTTCCTACAACAATGGCGAATCTCACTAGATTAAGGGAGCTTGATGCTAGTTTCAATGAACTCGAAGGGATACCCGAAAGTCTTTGTTTCGCGACCAGTTTGGAGAAACTTATCATTGGTAAAAATTTTGCTGACATGACAACTTTACCAAGATCGATTGGTAATCTTGAAAATCTTCAAGTTCTTGATATAAGTGATGATCAGATAAGATTTTTACCCGAATCTTTCGGGTTGTTGTCTAAGTTGAAAATATTCCGGGCTGATGAGACGCCTCTTGAGGTTCCTCCAAGGGAAATCACCAAGTTAGGGGCTCAGGTAAGATGGGTGTAACATGGTTCTTCTTAGGTAAAGTTTCCACTACGCATGTATACAAACACTTGGTTGACATTGTTTAATTACTTTCAGGTGGTTGTCGAATACATGGCTGATTTAGTTGCCAAGAGAAATGTCACACCTCAAGAAATAAAGAGAAAGCGCAAAGGATTTTGGTCATGGATTTGCATGCTCTTTTCAGGCTAATCATTTTGTAAGATTTGGAGGAAAGTCGTTGTACATAATCTTTTTGTCATTTTACACGTATTTTGTAAAGGTTGTACCAAATGAACTCCATTAAAGGTACATATGTATTGGGTCCCACCATATACGTATTTAAAAATACCTTTTTACATGTATATTCCTATGTTACATAACAAGATTTATGGTTGAATTCGTCAACAACTAGGATAAGTATTGGATTGATGGCTACTTGTATGATAGTGATTAGATTTTGTTGGTGTAGTTGCTCTTATCCATAGATAATAAAGAAGAGTTATTACCAAAATATCATAAAGCTTTTATCATATTTTAAAAAAAGGTGTTTATAATTGAAATATCCAATGTTTTTTTTTATAGAACCCATTCAATTCAATTCAACTCATCTATTCAATATTGAATATCGTCAACCGATCCAATCCCATTAATTTTGGACAACCGAACCGAACCGATGTAATTAAACATTAGATTTTAATTACATTAGATCGATTTTATCCATTAGATTTTTTACTTCGGTTATATAATATATATATATATATATATATATATATATATATATATATATGGTATCAGAGCCAAGAAAAGTTTTTGGGGTGGTTATGCATGATATATTTATTTCATATTTATTTAATTTGGGTTTAATATTCTCTAAGAAATTTACAAGTTTTAATAAGTATGATTCAGAGACAAGACCAGTGATTGGTTGGATTAGCGTAAAACGCGCAGATAAGGACGTAAGTCGCGGTGCCGGACCACAATCATCGTCGAGACGATTCGCCTCTGTTCATCGTTATTAAAACAAGTAAGTTTTCTTATAGAATTTTAAAGCAAAATTAATTGAATATGAGTAAATTTTCACGCATACTATCCAAAAAATATATTCCTGGTAAAAATATCGACAATGAACAAGATTATGATAATCAAATAAATTCTATTGAAGAAACCGTTAATGGCATAGAACAAAGTTTGAATGATTGGACAATACCTAAAACTAATGTTAATACAATATATAGAATATGAACTTTTGACTATTTTCAAGGTTATTCTATTAAAATGACAGAACAAACTTTGTCTATTGGTCAAAACCAACAAAATTTACATTTATTATCATCACGATCTATTCTAGAACATAGAATGAAATATAAATTTTTACATGTCGGTTTAGTCCAAATTGCTATCAAGCCTCTATTCAGACTTGGAATAGATGCCCATGTTCTCTTTATTTTAAGAGACAAGAGACATAAAGATTTTCAAAATTCTATTTTAGCTATGGCTGAAACAAATATTTCTAACGGACCTATTTATTTCAATTGTTATCCAAATTTTTCTGTAGGATTATTTGATAAAAATATTTTAGATACTTTAGTGTTAACTGTAGAAACAAAACATTTAGAATTTAAAGATGATACAAAGCCTTTAGCAATAATTTATCGTGTTTGTTACAAAACCATGACAACTACACTTGAACCGAAAACACGTTTATCGAGTCCTAAAAATGAAACAATTATTTTTGAAGCAAATACTAATCATATCAAAGTTCACACACCAAAAAAGGTTAAAATGGTCTGATATAACTCAATCATGTAACTGGAATTTACAAAATGTTATCGATCCAAAACCTCTAGACTCTTCAAAACAAATCTCAAATATTATAGAATATAATGATGGTTCAGTAGATATAAATTTTTTTTCCTTAAAAATTTTGTCATCCAGATTATCGACTTCTTTTATCCCGGAAACAAGTTCTTCAAAATCTCCGTTATCAAAGTCAAGATCTTTAAAACTAAAAACTGTTGACTATACTAATTCTATTCCCAAACCATTATATCAAGATGACCAAAATAGTGAAAATAGTTTTCCTAGTCCTACTAAATCAGATTTTATTGATGAACTCCAAAATTTTAAACAACAAATATGAGTTCTAAAGTACAAATTAATTGTTCAAAAAATAATAAGCTTTGGGCTAATATGTTAAAAAGACATTGGAAGATAAATTCTAATATATGCAAAACCATTCAACGTTTAGAAGAAACTAGAATTCATGAAGATTATAATTTATACAAAATACTTCCATATACTAATGAATATAATAAACAAATAGAAAAAATTTCTAGGCTAACTATAGGAATAAAAAAATACGAAAAATCACGAAGTCATAATTTAGAATCAATAAAACATATTTCTTCAATCCTAACAAAAACAACCTGTTAAAATGAATTTCTCAAATATAGAATATCAAGTTGACTTTGATTACTTAAAAAATATTGAGTATTTCAAAGATTACAATAATAAAAAAAGAGTTTGGCACGAAGAAAATTTCTCATACTACTTAAGATTTCTCCATTTAGGCCTTTGGGAAGATTATGTTTTATCAAATAAAATTCATTCTCCTTTTTTTCAATGGTTTGAGTTAATTTATGCCCCTAAATATAAAATAAATTACCCATTTAAAAATGATTCTATCACCCCCCATTTTAGAGAAAAAATATAAAGATATTATTTCTAATAAAGAAATTATTGCTAATTTTCCACCAAAATGAGAAATTATTATTAACGATATGTTTATTGCGACTCCTTTAGTTCAAGCCCCAAATCAATTAACTACTGAAAAGGGTCTTCAAAAAATTATTTACCAAAATAATTATGCAAACGAAACCTTATCTAGTATTACCGAGCATTTAGTTAAAATTGAAGAAAAAATTTTCAAAGACAAGAATGATAATAAGCAAGATATGGCAAGCACTAGCAATATAAGTTTTGTTCCTTGTCAAATCGATGGTAATTTTAATCTAGGAAATACGGATTTAATTAACGAATTAGAAAAAAGACTTTCAAAACTCCATATCTCAAACACTAACAGTATTAATACCCTTACAAATGATGAAGCTGAAAATAGTGATATTAATAGTGAAAATTAATTTTGAAACCCTTGCTCAACAATTTGATAATTCAAATGATGATATTAGTCAACTCACTAATGACTTTTCAAATCTTAATAAAATTCATCAACCAAAGCGAAGCTCTTTCGGAAAGAATCCAAAGCCAACCATAAGAAATTATTGGAATAGGCCCTCTCTTCCAGATGTTCAACTAGAAGAACGAACTTTTCAATTTGATCGTTCTCAATATGATGATAATTCTGTTTATGAATGGAATGTTGATGGCCATTCTGAACATGAATATTGTACAAGAAATGACTATGGCTGCTAATGCTTATAAAGCTCATAATAATACTCAACTTCAAATTGTTAATATTATTACTTCCGGTTTTACTGGTAGTCTCAAAGGATGGTGGGATTTCTATATTTCACAAGAAGAAAAAGATTATATTTTATCTGCTAAGAAAACTATTATAAAACAGGAAAATAATCAACAAATACAAACGTTTGAAGATGATATGGTTAACACTTTAATTTTTGCTATTATCAAAAACTTTGTAGGAGATCCTACTACTTTTCAAGAAAAAACTTCAGAAATTTTAATGAATTTACATTGCAGAAAACTTACTGATTTTAGATGGTATAAAGATAATTATCTTGTTAAAGTTTTTTCAAGACCTGATTGTAAAGAGTCTTATTGGAAAGAACGTTTTATAGCTGGCCTTCCAAAACTCTTTGCTGAAAGAGTTAGACAAAAATTAAGAGAAAGTTTTAATAATACCATCCCTTATCAAAATTTAACTTATGGAGATCTAATAAACTACATTAATAAAGAGGGATTAGCAGTTTGTGCTGATCTTAGGTTTAAAGAAAAGCTCAAAAAAGATAGAATTAACAGTAAAAATGAATTGGGAAATTTTTGCCAACAATATGGTTATCAGCCCTTGAATGGTCCGTCTACTTCAAAATCTAAAGTATATAAGAAAAGACCTTCAAAATATTTCAGAAAAAAGAATTATAATCTTCCAGAAAATTATAAAAAAGGCCAAGATTATGCGTCAAAATCCAAAAAACCTTATAAACCAAATTATAAAAAATCTAAGAGAAAATCAAAAGACATTATTATTTGTCATAAATGTGGGCGTAATGGTCATACAGCTAATAATTGTTATGCTAAGACAAAAATAAATGAGTTAAATGTTTCTGATGATTTAAAAGAACAAATAAGAAAAATTATTTTAAATACTGATTCAGATTCCGATCAAAGTATTTCTGATTTTCAAACAAATGATTTAAATATTCTCGAAAATACTACTTCAAGTTCAGAAGATTCTGATGTTTGCGAATGTATTGGTAAATGTCATTGTAAAAATTTAATCAATGTAATTACTAGTAGTTCTATTAACGTTCTTTCACAAGATGATAAAGATCTTTTAAACTCTCTTGATTCTATAAAAGATAAAAATATCCAAGAATTATTAATAAAGCAGATGCTTAATAAAACTAATAACATAACTCCTGATAATAATGAAAATTTTAATTTAAAAAATATATATGAAAGATTTACTGAAGCAAAACCAATCTCTATGCAAGAACTTCAAGAAGAATTAAAAATAGTAAAACAAGAGATAAAAGAAATAAAAAATAAAATTTTAATTTTAGAAAAAGAAAAACCTTCTATTTTTAAAAACAAAAATATAGAAATTAATAAAGAAGAAGAAAATAAAATTGAAAATGTAACTATTGGAAAAATTATAAATAATCAAGTTTCTCAAAAATGGAACACTCAAATTACTTTAGTCAAGGATAATTTTAAAATCAACCTAACTGCTTTAATTGATAGTGGTGCTGATATGAATTGTATTCAAGAAGGAATTTTTCCTACACAATTCTATGAAAAAACCGCATCTAGACTTACTGGTGCCGAAAGGTACAAAATTAATTGTAAATTATAAAGTTTCCGATGTTCATATTTGTAATAACCAAGATTACTGTTATAAAACTCACCTAATTTTAGTAAAAGATCTATCTTCTCCTTTAATTCTAGGAACACCTTTTATTACAAAACTATATCCTTTTATGGTTCATGATGATGGTATAAGAACCAATGTTTTTGGAAAAGAAATTATATTTAAATTTTGTGAACCTCCTCTATATTCAAC